TCTTCTTGCTTGCAATGTTTAAGTTCAGCATCAGCCAGCTCTGGGAAGAGCAGAACCAAAGTTCATGGGTGCTCTTCAAGTAGTTTCTTCCAAGAGACTTTGGGTTACTATGGAGGCACATCAATGGTATCTTTACCCACAAATATTAAAAAGGAGACAGGAGATTTGTTGGCCCACTCATGCTCCAAATATTGAGTCCTAATTGCTCACCATTAAATTGTAGGAGTTTTATGGGGCTTTTGCCTTGGTATACCCCAAGTAACAATTTGTATGGGTGGTATCTCTACCCACAAATATTAAAAAGGGGGACAGGTGGTTCAGTGGCCCACTCTTGCTTCAAATATGAAGTCCTAATTGCTCACTATGAAATTGTAGGAGCTTTATGGGGCTTTTGCCTTGCTATACCCCAAGTAACAATTTGTATGGGGGCAGGGAGCATCCTATGTTAGGAAAGCTCCTTTGCGGTGTATGTTATGGTGGGGGAGAGGTCATTTGAAATCTTTTGGATGCAAGAAACAAAGATATAGGCCTGGTGTGAAGCATAAATCATTCTGGTTCCTTGAGTTGAGGCATCATTAGTTTAGATATGGCAGAAAGGGTTAGTGCATGAGTTCTCAACTTCTCTTCAGAAAAATCTTTTGTCTTCATTAGAAGAAAAGAAATAGTGGAAAGAGAATAAAAGTTAGAGGTACCAATGCTGTAGAGAAAACATTGATGAAACAAGTGGAAATGGAGTTGACTGGGGGTTGTACAGATATGCCAAAGAATTCTGGCAGAGAAGGAAGCGCTGGGGTAGGAATGCAATATTTCAAGTAGACCTGTCATTCCAGGATGGTACAACAGAGGTGTTTCCTTGCAGGAAGCCTTGGCTCGTGTCTTTGGAGGCTCTTGCGAAGGAAACTGCTAAGCATCTCAAAAATGAGATGGTGCTCTCAATATCTATGCAGGCACCTTCTGTCTCCTCCCCCTCAAATTCTTGTTGGGAAGACCTCTAGTTAAATTAAGAGAAAATACAGGGATGGACATGAAAAAATGAGCTGGTGAGGCAATAAACTCTTGCCTTCCCAGATTAGTTGAAAACAGGACCTATCTGAAATTGCCTCTCTGAAAGGGCAATAAATATATGTTAACACAGGTCCAACTTGGCTTTGTAGCTGTCAGTGTGAGCTGTGCAGGGGCTGTGTTTGGTATCCCTCAAGCTGAAGTCTGAACCTCAAAAAAGCAAAGCAATTAGCCAGGTAGGGCAAGAAGATCATGACCAAGGCAGCTGAATGCCACCACTAGTGCTTGGGCAAACCAGATAGGTCCCAGTGTGTACAAGTGATGATGAGAAACCTTCTGGCTCCCTGGCTTCTGCCTAGTAAGGGGTTGAACTGGAAGGAAAATTTGGACAGGGAAGAATGCAACTGATGGTGGAAACTGCTCCTGCCACAAAAACTTGCTCCAAAGGAAGAGGACTTGAACATCTACTCAAGATTCGATGCAGCCAATTTGGCTGCTGCTGATTGTTGCAGGTGCTAGCTGAGTGTCTGTAAGTCTCAATCCCAGGCAAGGGTTCCTCTGAGCTAGGCGCTGAGAAACCAAGTCCTTCCTGAAATATGGACAGTACAAGCTATCCCCCTCAGAGCAGAAGTCAGGTGAGATGCACAGAGGAATAATTAGGACAGTTTGAAGTATAAAATGAAGAGCAAAATTCATTCTCTTGACTTTGCTCTGATTGCTGTCACAGAAGCCAGAGTTGATTTCCACTGAGTTAAAGCTTTTTGGGCTGTGTGAAATGGATTTTTCTCTGGGATCTTAATGAACAAACACCTTCATCCATGCTCAGTCCTCAGTCCAAAATACAATTACACTGGCAATGTAATGATAACAATAAATTGGGTGAATGTAACACATATTAATACTCAGCTTCCCACCTCTGTTCCAAAAGATGTCTTTGAAAGCAACAGCTTGGTTTTTGCGAGGAGCTGAGAAAGCATCCAGTGCTGACACCATTGCCTTAGAGGACCTCACTCAGCAAAGGTTGCATAAAAGGGCTTTATAGGATTATAAAGGTACCATGTGGTGGCAGCTCCACCGTGGAGGGGGTTTCAGATGGGGGCACAGGCATCCTCTGGTTCTGCATGTGCTTTTTTATTGCTGGTGCTGTGCCTTGCGTGTATGGAGCTCTTCCAGGGGAAGAGCTATGTTGCTTGGTGTCTGGAAAAGCCCTTTACACTTTCCTCTAAAATTCATCCCTTGCCCTGTTCTGGAGAAATTTTTATAATTTGCTCCAGTCTGATTCAGACCAGCTTGGAAGGCAGTGAAACTGGCCTGATTGATAAACAAGGTGCTGATGGATGAGTCTTTGCTCATGTGTGTTTCATGGCCTGCTTCTCACCAGCCTGGATTTCCAGTCCTCCTGAGGAGGAGGGCTGGGGAGAGTGCAATCCTTGTGCACAGCTGGGCCAGGAAACCGGCTGAGAGGAGATGGAAAAGGTGGTTTTCAGCTTCCCCTCCAAGACTGTTGGTGTCTTCTCTGTGCTGTTTCTCAGGGGTGGCCCAGCAGCCATGGTTCACCTTGAACCATGGTTCACCACATGTCCCCATCAGATGTGCCAAACTTTTGCACAGAGCAGTTAAAATAAATATTGGCAAGTAGCCCATTTGATACTTCAATTTTCTACTGTTTCTCAGGATTTTCCAGCTGCTAATGTTAAGCAGCTCCTGGAGACCTGTGTTCTCTGTCTTGGTGGACCACTTCCTATGTTCTGCCCACACTAAGCTCTTTATTTTGCTTTTACTTTTTAAGAAGCTCCTTTCCTTGATCAAACTTAGATCTCAAGCTTTGTGATCCTATGATGTGGGGACCTATCTTTTTGAGGTGTCTCATAGCCAAGTAGGTAAGGTGAGAAGGTGGGGAAGGGCTTCAGAATCACAGATTGCTCTGCAGAAGTCTTGGCCATAAGATCAATTTCTGTATCCCTCCTCTAATAGCTGTCTGCTACATGATACTTGGAGCTTGTTTTCTCAAACATTCAACTGAACAGTGCATGCTCAGTGAGAATGGTAAATTGGGAGAGTGGGAGCTGTAGAAAATGCTTTTATGCCTCCTTCTCCTTTGCCAGCTGGGGATATCTCTTCCACCAACTGTGGAAGCTGGGAGGAATGAGCCTTCAGGGCAAATGTATTGATGAAGGCCAAGAATGGCTGTCCTGGAGATTTTGTTACAGGACTTTGCTACTGTGGAGCTTGGACCAGGCCACCTTTCTCATAAACAAGTCTATTCAATTGTCCACTTAACCAGGCCACCATGAGCCAGGTGGTGTCCTATCTCCTCAGGCAATAGTTGAGACTGGTTTGCACTCATATGTCAAGCCAAGCGGGAGTGAAAATGTATAAGTTAAAGTTCATCAGTGCTTCAAAATGTGCCGTTTAACTTTTTGGGTGGTTTTTATCTGTTTCAGAAGCAGAATTTTCTGAAGGTTTTTCTCTTTCTAGGAAGGGTGGAGGGGGGGGAATTTCTATTAGTCACACTAGTAGATTCTTCATGTTTCCACAAATTACTTTTTTTTGAGTCTTCATTTCTTCCCATTGTGGCTTTTTTCTTGAAATCCTAATACTTTTTGAAGTAAAGCTTCCTTGCCCATCTCCCTGCTCTTCTAAAACAAAAACCGAGTTGTTTTTCTCCTGCTTTAGACCCCTGATGTAAAATTACCTTGTTAAATCATTCCTGATGATTGTCATCTGTGCTGGGTATTGCTGGCTGTGGCTCAGGTCAGGATTTGGTGTCTGTTGTGCAAAGAGGCTTGGGAGTGAAAGCATGCTAGCTGCTTGCCCAGGGGACTGTGCTCCTGGCAGGATGCATCCCATTGAGTTAGAGGGAAATCCTTGTTAAAAACAAACAACAACCCCCTGTTCCTGCAGGGCAGGTGGAGTTTTTAAGAGTTTGGGGATCATCTTGCACTTGGCCAAGGATGGGAGCGTGTGCTCCACTTTCATGCCCATCTCCTGCGATGGTGCAGGCTATTTGTCTGTCTGCACCATTCCAGCGTGTTCCTAGTTCTGCCTTGAGCAATTCTTCCCTTTTGGCTGAGGGAAAGCATGTCTTGAGGTCCCTCAAACCCTACATAGTGAATCCCATTGACTGCGTGGACTGGCCGCTGGCCGGAAGAGGACAGAGCCAGGAGGACGGGACGCGGGCAGCTCAGCCAACAAAATGCTCATGAGTCCAGCAGATGTTCCTGCAGTGCCTTGGCTCGCCGGGGCCCATGCCAGCCTGGTCCTGGTCCAGCAACTTGTCACTTGACACCGGGAACAGTACGCTGGCTTCTTTTGTTGCACATGGTACGAGTCAAGGACCTTGTCCTCGGATGAGGCAGGGCAGGGGAGAAGGCGGCAGGACGTGTATTTTTCCAAGGTGTTTTTTGTTTTTGAGCTTGTCGCTCTGCATTGGAAGCCTTTGGCAGCATCGCTTCTCAAAGTGAATCCTGCTTGCAAGCCTGGTGTTGTGGCTTGCTCAGTTTATGTAAGGATCTCTCCTCTTCTGAAGACAGAGCAGCTGTACATGGTGGTTTGTGTGGTGGGTGGCTGTGTGGTTTTTTGGTGGAATGATTTGTTCTCCCTTCCCATGCCTCTCTGGCTTGGCTTGCTATGCTAAACACTTTTTTCTATGTACAAGAGAGCAGCTGTAGTGCTGTTGCCTTTTTGCTGGCTGCTTGGCTTTCCATATTTATACATTAAATGCCCTGTCTGCTAGCAACTGAATTTAACAGGGAAATGGAAATTGTGGAGTTCTAGTGTCTGAATTAAGCTGGTAGAGAAAGCAAACCCGAATACCACTTCTTGCCCTCCTCTTCCTCCTATGCTGCAGAGAAAACCTCTAACCTCCATCCTCCTCCAGACACTAGTAAGTCCACATAGCTTAGCCAGGAGAGACCAAATTCTACCACAACTCTTCTTTCTCTGCCTGTTTTTTCTCCCCCCCACCTCACATCTGTGCCTCTCTGTCTCTTCTGCAGGCTGACCGGGAACGAACCCTTGACCATCCTCCCTCTGACCTCGGAAATGGAGGAAGCCGCCGTCAAAGCCCACTACAAAGTCTGTGACCGCCTGAAGCTGGAGAAGAAGCAGCGCAGGATGTGCCGTCGGGACCCTGGCGTGGCCGAGACGCTCATGGAGGCCATCAGCATGAGTGCCCTGGAGTGCCAATACCAGTTTCGCTTTGAGCGTTGGAATTGCACCCTGGAGGGCCGCTACCGGGCCAGCCTGCTGAAGAGAGGTGAGCAGCACGGGAGGCACAAGCACAGCCTGCTGCAGGTCCCCAGGCATCCTGGGGTCCTTCTTGGGGTTGCTTGTGCCTGACACCTGTGAGCATCTCTGGGGCTTTGTGGATAAAGATGTGGTCCCGATGTGTTCTTTGTCAGTAGTGTGTCTCCATTTCCTAGTGGTCCAAAGGGAGGTGTGAAGATGAAGTTGGGGTCAGCTCCTGTGTGATGGTGGCAAGAGGTTGCTGTCACAGCCATGGAGGCTCTGCATAGCTGTGACTTTGCTTGTGCTGGCAGGTCAACTGCTTTCTGTCCCCTGGTGTGGGCCACAGGCTTGGAGCTATCTACTGCAGATAGCTACAGTTGCTCCTCACTTCTGCTGCAACTCAAGCTGTTATTGGAGAGCAAGAGGTGGGCTTCTCCCTTCATTAAAAGGCAGGACATGCTCATCTTTCAGGATTTTTTTGCCACGGGTAGTGAGACAAGACAGGCTGTTCTGTGTTGATGGTGTCAA